CCCCAAAACCCCAAAACCCCAAAACCCCAAAACCCCTTTACTAGTCCTGTATATTGAATAGTGATAAGTCAGATTCTCTATAGATCATTTATATAAGAGAGCCTTTGACTGGATCTTCTCTGTTAGGGTCCTTGTTCACCTTGTAAACTCTGAGAATCCATCTATTTGTGGTGTACACCTCTGTGAAATACTTCAGTTTGATTGGAGTAGGGTCAATAGCCATGTTTCTGACAGTATCAAAACCTGCTGGGTGCTGATAACTCATTCTCACTTCATTATATCTATGGTATGCAAGTCTGTACATCAGAGAGTTCTTCATGGTGTCTGTAGCCTGAGCATCAACCCTATATTGTCCGTTTGCAAAATAGCTGGACTCTACAATCTCTGGATAAACTCCTTGAGCAATTCTGATCATCCAGATGAATTTGGAAACATCATCTCCCGAATAATAACTGAGACCTCCGAAAATAATTAACACGTAGTCAGCATCGAGATGTCTAGCGATTTTATAGCCTTCTTCTTCCGTACTAGCGAATGCTTTACCGATGGTCGCAATGTGAGTATTGTTCCAGGTGTTTCCATCAGCAAGGACAGTTCTGTTAGCCATTCCAGTAATCTGATATCCATAGTCCCACCATGACATGATCTTATCAGCAGGGTCTGTATTTTGTCTAATCCAATCATAAGCTTCTCTGTAGTCATCAATCAGAACCTTCTCTCCAGTTGGCCCTCTAGAAGCCATAATAATAGATGGAGAAGAGTAAGCTTCTGCTGCAGTCCAAGTAGAGTGAAATACATAGCTTCAAAGAATGTATCCAATCACACAGAGTAAAACAACTGAGCTGATAAATGGATATTTATGCACAATTGTAGCAACTTTCTTCTGCTGATATTTCTTTCCCTTCTTACCCTTCTTGCTCTTCTTGTTACCTTTTACTTCTGAAGCCTCTTTTTCTTCTTCCTCAATAGGTTCAAGCTGCTCATCATTTTCTTCTATAAACGTTTGTTTAAGAGATTTAGTGAGCCTAGTTACAACTTCTGATGCTCCAATTCCAGCGAGGACACAACATGCTGGTGCGAACACCAGCATGAGTCTGATCATGACACAAGCAAAATAAACCGAGAAAACTCCATACAAGGCACAGAATAGCATTCCATAGGTTGGCCTGATATAACAGAAATACAATCCAATCGGCATGAAAATGACCAATGCATTCACATCCATGTAAAACGAAGACCAAGTGGCTGGCTGATGCTCGGATACTGAAGCAATTATAGGAATATACTTCTTAGCATAGGTTGGGTCTAGCAATGTCATTGACCTTCCACTCCATTTTGTCAAGCCTGTCAAAGAAGCATACACGAATACCAAAGCGAATGCAATGGTGGTATAAGTCAAAATTAGCTTGGAATATTTCTCAAATTGCTCTTTTGTCACCTTTTGCCTCAGCCACTGCACGAGAACATACCCTTGAACAATGAAGAAGACTCCATGTGAGGCGAGATGTTCTGAAGATTTCACAACTGCTAAATTGACGAACTGAATCTGCATTGCCAGGAGAGATCCCATTGCATAGAAAACACTGTAAGCAATATACACTTTCATGTTGAACTTCTTAATAAAGATCAATCCAAGGACATAGATTGGGATAATGTTAATAATAAAGCTATATCCACCCCATGCAGCAACCATGTAGAAGTAGCTCAATGAGCAGGCCATCGCCCATAGAATAGATCCGGTGTTGACAGCCTTAATCCATAGATAAAAGACTAATACCAGAGCGAAGATAGAAACTCCTTCGTTATCATATGAACCAGCTACACTTCTCGAGATGTAACTTGGAACAATAGCAATGAATATGGCTGAAAATAGACCTGGTCCCTCTCTGTGAGTGCATTCTTTAGCGAAAAGATAAGTCGTAGCAGCACAAAATCCTGAAAATACCGGTGCAATGAATACGCATACATTTCTAATATCTACTGGGAATCCAATCATATGAGCGCACCAATGGAACAGGCCGGCTGTTGCCATTAATCCTGGAAACACAGTGGGTCCGACAGGTCTTCCAAGTGGATGCCAACTTTCATGGTCATACCAGTTCCAGAACTTATAAGGCCCGTGCTCTACCAACACTTTTGTAACTCTGTAATTGAACCAGGGATCAAACTCATGGATGATGCTTTCGTATCTGATCACAGAGAAGATTCTGATGAAGAATCCAAGGAGCCAAACAAGCAGTAGAATAGTCAACTGAATTGTAGGCTTCATTGAGATTCCAAAAGACTTCAGCAATCCGTAACTCTTTTCAGAGTGAATCCTTTTATCGTCCATAATGGATATTTCAATTATTAATTATTTTTTCGGGGTTTTGGGGTTTTGGGGTTTTGGGGTTTTGGGGTTTTGGGGTTTTGGGG